TAATTAACTAGCCCTAGAACCGCTAGAGCTCTAAACGAAGAAGATCTAGGTTTAAATCGATAGAAGTTGGAAATACTCTTCCTCGTGCTATAAAAGGTCGATAGAGGTTGAAAATACTCTTCCACGTGCTATGAAAGCTCGTTTAGCTATGAAAGCTTAAAGTTTATTCAATATCAAAGTTATCTTCTCTAATTAGTTACAACAAGCTTAAATAAGAAGTTAGCATCGAAAACCCTAATCTAACAAATAAACAAAATTAACGTATACTTTAATAGTCCAAATGAAATAAAAGCTCATAAAAAGTCCTACTAAGGCGTGATCAACGTAAGGATGCACTGCATCAGATCCCTCCGGGTGGGAAAAGATTCGCCCTCAGATCTGAACTATGCTTGTGAACTGCACATTGAATCCTTTTTTTCCCGTTCTTCCATTGATAGTATCGGAACGCATCATCATGCGAAGTTGCAACAAATCTTATTTTGAAATGTGTGACCACGTGCTCCACTTTAGCACTATGAATAAAAAGTCCTGAAATTTTTATTGGACCTTGACTAAAAACCCAGCGCGTAGTATGTGTTGTCCACCAACATGTAGATGACTTAAAATCATCTTCCTCTTTGAGATACTTCAGAAGAAACATGGCTGGAAATTGATTTAATTAACCAGAATTCACTGAAACACGGGCATGAAATAAGTCTTGGTTTAAGCACTCCAATATAACCTACATACTAACTGTTGTTGAAGACATGTTTTTGGAAAAAGGTGGTGTCACTCTATCAAGAGCTGAAACGACCCACAAGTTGGTTGTTCGGCAAGTAACATCACTCCACCAAATAGTGATCGGGGATGTGCAATTGGAAGCCAATTGTGGACTACTCACAGCTCCGTTTCCTTTATAGTGCCGAAAAAACTTAAGCTCTGAATTTTCCGCACATATATAGGCCACAACAGAGCCGAATCGCAACCCCAAACGGTGAGAAAAAGCAACGAAATGAGTCAAACTTTGGACTCCCACATGTTTCACTTTAAAAAGGTCCATAGGAAAACCAACAAAGGAGACCGTAACATGGAAGATCAAGCTCCAAAGGACGTCAAATTCGCACTTCTGGTTGGTAGGATAAAACGGTGTAAGATTAATGAGAGCAAATACCTTGTGGTGGCGTTGAATTCCAAAAATGAATACTTTTCCGAAACAACTATCTACAACATTCAAGTCAAACCGAGAACATAGTAGAAACATGAGAATGCACCAGAATCGATCATATCCTCTCATGGATNGATTCCAGACGCGTTTTCATCGATCTCCTACACAAAATTCAACATTCAAACACGAATACAACCAGGAACAACAGCAATCAATCATATTCCATCAAATCCTAATCCGAGGGTCTATGGTCGCGCACTCACCTTGATTTCGGAATCGATTATCTCATCAACCACAGCTCCTAAACAGAATCATAAAACTGTTCTGAAAACTAGACAGAGAGATCTACACAACGGTATGTAGATCGTCCTCTGCGTCCCTAAGATTCAATGGGAAAACCGCCTGCAATCTCGCTGATTGAAACTGGAAAAAAACAGAGATTTCAGAAACGACACCCTGAAATCGAAATAACACAGAGAACGAAGATTACCTCCGAATCACGATCATAACCCTGATCTAGAAACTAGAAAGCGAGATCTTTCCAACGGCATATGGATCGTCTCCTGATTCTTTCTGGTTCGACGGGAATCCTCCCTCGAAGCGGACTGGTTGCATCAACAAGTCTGCACAACCCTATCGAGTTCAAACAGCCATAACTCAACGAATACTCAACGGAAAGACAAACGGATTTCGCCCATATCGAGACCAGAGATCGGAGAACTTACTCTCAAAGTTTCACCCCAATCCTCCTCGAATTGCCCAGCCGTTTGCTCTCTCAAACACTCGAACAGAAGCTGTCATTCACCCTCAATCACACACAACTCACAACCTCTCTTCATTCTCTCTCAAATCCTCCTCTTTCTCTGATTTTCGGCCAAAATGAGACCAACACGCGTCTGTTCCAGCCCTTTTATACAAACCCTAGGGTGTCCCCTAAACCGCTCCCCAAACCGGCAAATCAGAAACCGAAACCATCGGTCTGATTTTACTCCGTGTTGATCGACACACATGCCCAAAAAAATCTCCTTTTTGGTTCACGGGCGTTACTGGCCACAATATTGAGACATACCTTTGAGTGGCTGGAGTCCGACACAGTTTTTTCTGAGTCATTTACATGCGACTCAGTGTCATTCGAACCATCAGGGACTTCGCGTTGTTCTGGAGGCGAATCACCAACATAATTTGGGCTCTTCGTGCGCGCCATTGATCTTCGAAAAACCAAACAACCCAACATTATAACTTCGCGAAATCGGTTAAGCATTTTAACCTAAATTCGACGCGAATTCTACTCAAAATTGCAAAATGTATATACCTAACATTTAAGAAAAAATTCATAAAGTACAACTTGCAAAAAATGGTACAACTAGTCAATGATGTATAGCTTGGGACATTTGACAGCTAAACACGTGCGAAAAGGCGTCTCGCACGTTAATCATCGGGAATCATCCCTCTTTTTCAAAAATTGAAAATTTTCAAAAATCGAAAAATCCCTCTCGCACTGAATCATCTCTTTCCCATGTCCTTTCATAAATTGATCCTAATTTTCCGATTTTCGGCTATCCTTTCATAAATCGATCCCGATTTTCGATTCCGATTTTCTGATTCCTGGGCTTTCCTTTCATAAATTGATCTCGATTTTCCGATTCCGTTTACTTTCCCATTTCCAATTTTCTGATTCCTAGGCTTTCCTTTCATAAATCGA